CGGGATTTGGCATCCTGTGTATTGCTGGCAAGGCCGTGGGCTCGTAACACTCGTCTTGCCCGCGGTGCCTCTGTGGATGACGGTCACACTAGAATAACCCGTTATAGTACATTCTTCTTTCCTCACACAGCCAAACTGTGGAATGCTCTGCCTTCTTCTGTGTTTCCATATTCATAAAATCTATCTCACTTCAAAAAGCTGGTTTTCCGGCATCTTCGTGGTGTAGATTAATGTAATCTTTTTCGTTTCTATTTTTAATTTATTTTTACTCTTAGTTTTTCGTCCCAAAGTCCCCGTTGTGGGTCGATGACCTGTGCACGGGTGGGCTATTCCCCGTAAAAAAAAAAAAATAATAATAATAATAATAAAATAATTATATATATATATATATATATATATATATATATATATATATATATATGTAAATATATATATATATATATATATATATATATATATATATATATATATATATATATATATATATATATATATATATATATATATATATGAAATATATATATATATATATATATATATATATATATATATATACATATATATATATATTCTGAAATCTTTGAACGAAAATTAATGCTCTGACGAGCAGGGAATCATACATAGGGCAGCCATAGCATCATACAGTGTAGTGGACGTCTCCCCTACAACTGCGTAGAGCTGCAGGCCACTCATACGTCTTCCTAGCAACCAAACTAGCGGCCCAGGGGGGCGTCACCAGATGCCACCGTATCCTAGCAACTGAGTCAAAAGACCGGCTACTTCCTGGTTTCCTCTACATGACTCACGGCTGACTCCACGGCTGCTGTGTATATAAGCTCTGTCTCTCTCATTGAGATTCATTCTGGCCTTCTACTTGAACACGAACACCTCCTCCTCCGCTGCTGCCTGGCGGCCCTCGCTTCCTCCGCCTGCCTGGCGGTCCTCGCCCCGCCAGCGAGAGCATGACCCACCAGCTGTCCTTCTCTGAGCTTCCTCAACCAACTCTCATTCTGCTCTCGGTTCCTGAACACGCAACACCTCCTCCCAGCAAGCTCCTCGCTGTCCAGCTTTCATTCAACCAGGAGGCCAGCAACAGGCAACATCTTCTCTAACGAAGCTCCTGCACATCTACCTCCTTCAACACGCTACTCACCGAACGTGTCTACTGAGCAGCTCACCACACGGCACCTCCAGCACCAGACTGTCTACCATATAACTTATATTATATAAGAAAACCACCTTAGAGTTTCCATCCATCCTGAGTGCTAGACAACATTATATCACGAAACCCCTACAAATGGACCCCCGGAGATCTGCACTCACACAGGATGGAGGAGACACTGATCATGCTCCCAGTCTTCAAGCAGCATGGAAGACTGGCTTATCCACACAGAAGCAGCTCTGCTACTCTAAGCAGAGACCAGCTCCTCTTCCTGCCCAAAGCACCACATCCTACCGACCCCAACACACTGTCCTGCCTCAGACGCGACTCGGCCCAGCAGTAATCCCTGCCGCCCCTGACGCGGCTCTGTTCCTGAGTGCGGACCCACACACCCTCTTTTCTCCCTCAGGTACTCCCTGCTAATGTCCTGCACCGCTGCTGTCTGGACCCAGCTGCTGTCACGGGCCCTAATCCGCTCTGCTGACGCAGCCCCTGCTCCTGACCCAGGGCCCCACACACCCCAGCAGGCGCATCTGACGACCCTGTACCTGTCGTGAGGGAAGCACAACATTCATCGCCTCCACACACTTTTCTCCTTTCTCCCACAGATAGTGTATTCAGACAGTTGTATTCAGCGACCGCCCATTCACGCCATCGTCGTTGTCTCACATGAGGCATGCACCGCCCGTTCTGCCTCACATGTGCTAAGCAACTCTACAGACAACAAGTCTCCTACACCGCCTGGAGGAAGGGGGCATTGTAGTGGACGTCTCCCCTACAACTGCAGCTGCAGGCCACCCGACGTCTTCCCTAGCAACCAAACTAGCGGCCCAGGGGGGCCAGATGCCACCGTATCCCAGCAACTGAGTCAAAAGACCGGCTACTTCCTGGGTTTTCCCTACATGACTCACGGCTGACTCACGGCTGCTGTGTAAAGCTCTGTCTCTCCATTGAGATTCATTCTGGCCTCTCTTCCTGAACACGCAACACCATTCCTCCGCTGCCTGGCGGCCTCGCTCTCCTCCGCCTGCCTGTCTGCCCTGCATGGCGACCCACCAGCTGTCCTTCTGAGCGTCCTCACCAACCAGCTTCCTCATTCTGCCTCGGTTCCTGAACACGCAACACCTCCTCCAAGCAAGCTCCTCGCTGTCCTGTTCTCATTCAACCTGGAGGCCAGCAACAGGCAACATCTTCTAACGAAGCTCCTGCACCTCACTTCCTTCAACACGCTACTCACCGAACGTGCCTACTGAGCAGCTCACCACACGGCACCTCCAGCACCAGACTGTTCACCATATAACTTATATTATATAAGAAAACATTATATCACGAAACCCTACAACAGCATGGCAGGTTTAGACATAGCCCCCAAGCTGCCAAGCGGAGGAATTGGGAACTAACTGCCGCACTTCACAGGATACGAAAATAAAATGCACTTTATCAAATGAATGCATACAATATTGACGAAGTTAAAAGCCAGCTCTAAAATTAACAAAAGTTATCTTGGATAGTTTTTCATTTCAAAATATGTTACGTGTCCCCTTAGGAAATAATTAAAATATGAAAGTGAATGACGTTGTAGCGTTTACTTGCAGATCTCGCACTAAGGATGGAGGTGAGAAGGGAAACTCACAACGGCGTTTTCTATAAAATATATTATATGTACAATGCAGTGCTAGGGAGTTGCTGTGTGTTGAGGAGGTCTTGTCTATTTGAGAGCGTTGAGTAGCATCCTCTTCACGGCGAGGCTGAGGGCATTTATACAAGTCTGCCAGAAGTGAGCGGCGCTGCTGGCCAATCACTGCGCAGTCCGAAAGCTAGACTTGGGCTGAGAAACTCGCCTCGGGGTCGGCTGGTCAGCGACAAAACGGCGGTTGGCAATTGTAGGGGAGAGTATCCACTACAATTCTCCCCCTCCCTTCCGAGCGCTGCAGGAAAGTTGTTGTCGGCAGGGTTGTATTCCATATGTGAGACATAATGGGCAGGGGTGTGAACCACTCGGCCGCTACGGGTGATGACTCTGTCTAGTGACACGAAATCTGTGGGAGAAGCAAAGGGAGGAGGGTTGTAGATAAGAGAAGGTTGAACAGGCGAGGAATGTGGTGCTTCGTTCGCGGCAGGTGCAAAGTCCTCCGGGGCGCCGGGTGGGGTGTCTAGGTTCATAGAGCCGGATGCAGGTCCTCATCGGGGGCAGAGTCTACGTCAGGGGCAGGGTCCGTATCAGGAGCAGTAGGTACCTTAGGATGAAAAGAGAGTACCCAGAAATGTTGTGGGAGAGGTGGTGCTGCAAAAGGCAACTGTGGGCAGACTGGTGCAGGCGTGGTTTGTTGGGGGTAATGCTGGGCTGGACGCCCAACGGGTAAGGTGGCCGGCTTCACTCGATCGATGCTGACGGTGTCCTGTCTGCCATTGCGAATGATCGTCAGGAACTTCGCTGACCGTGCAAAAACCGGGAAGGGTTGTGGTGAGCATCGCGCCTGACGAAGACATACTCAGCGTTGAGTAGTGCAGGAGGGATGTGTTCATGGCGATGGGATGGCTGGCGTGGGGCAGTAGCTTTGAATGCAGAAACTGCTTGTCATAGTGTTTGCAGTAGGTCGTGACGGGCAGCAGGAGTGAAGTGGTCAAGGTCAGGAGTAAGTGAGAAGTCCCCGGGTAGACGAAGGGGCTCGCCTAGAGTGAGATCTGCTGGGCTGCAGTCCATGTCTTCTTTGTGTGATGCACGGATGCCAAGGAGCACTAAGGGTAGAGCATCCGGTCAGCTGTAGGGGTAGTACTGTGCCTTGATGGCGTCCCTCAGCTGACGATGAAACTGCTCTACCATGCCGTTGGATTGAGGGTGGTAAGAAGTAGTGCGGTATCTGGAAGTGCCGAGGAACTGCAGGAGACTATGCCAGAGTTGTAACTCAAACTGGACTCCTCGGTCAGTGATGACAGTCTTGGGAGAACCGAAACGGGTGACCCAACCAGACAGGAAGGCGCAGACGGCTGACTCTGCTGTAGCATCAGGCATGGGAATGTCTTTTGTCCACCTGGTGAAACGATCAATGCAGGTGAAGATGTAGGTGTTACCACAGGATGATGGAAGAGGTCCCACGATGTCGAGGTGCACTACCTGGAAGCGTCCTTTCGGTACAGGGAAGGTTTCTAAGGGAGCCCATGTGTGTCGATGTATCTTAGAGGACTGGAAGGCCAGGCACTGGGCAGTCCATTTACGAGTATCAGCCTTGATACCGGGCCAGACGACATGTTGCGTGAGAAGGCGCTGGGAGGCCCATACATCTGGGTGGCTGAGACCATGGATACAGTCGAAGATGGCGCGGCGGTGGATGTGAGGCACGAAAGGTCTAGGCTGCCCACAGGACATGTCACACCACAACTTGATGTTCGTGCTGGGAACAGGGAGTTCTTGGAGGGCGAGACCTGGGGGAGATGTCTTGTATGCTGAAAGGTCTTCGTCGTTCTCTTGAGCTACGGAGAGCTGTCTGTAATCCATGGGTGGAGATGAGGGAAGAATGCTGGATATACAACGAGAGAGGGTGTCGGCGATCTCGTTGTGGCTGCCCTTGATATGCTGGATGTCGCTGCTGAACTCCGAGATGTAAACCAAGTGGCGAAGAACATGAAGTGTATGTGTCTGGGAGGCTGAAGGGAAGGCGTGGAGGAGAGGCCTGTGACCAGTGAAGATGGTGAACTGACGGACCTCAAGGAAATGCTGGAAATGCTTGACAGCAAGATATATGGCCAGGAGCTCTCGATCGAAGGCGCTGTACTTGAGTTGAGGTGGTTGAAACTGCTGTGAGAAGAAGGCAATGGGCATGAGAGTTCCGTTGATCTTCTATTGTAAGACGGCGCCCACGGCAGTAGGGAAGCGTCTGTTGTGAGTGGTCCGGGCGTTGTTAGCAGGGTGAGCCAGCTTGATAGTGGTGAATGCTGTAAAAGCCTCCTGAGTCCATATGAGAGACTTGTGAGACGTCTTGGGGAGTCCCTTGAGAAGATCGTGGAGAGGAGCGAGGATGTTAGTAGCCTGGGCAATGAAGAGGTGGTAGTAGTTGACTAAACCCAGGAATTCTCGGAGCTTCTTCGCTGTTTCAGGTTTGTGGAACTCCTTGATGGCAGTTACCTTCTGTGGCAGGGGTTGGATGCCGCTCGACAAGACTCTGTGACCGAGGAAGTCGATGGAGGAGGCTCTGAAGACGCACTTGGCGGGATGAACTTTCATGTTGTTCTGCAGGCGTTGAAGAAGGAGCTGTAGGTGGTGGTGATGGCCGGCAGGCGTCAGAGATGCGACGAGAATATCGTCTATGTAGACAGTGACAAAGTCGAGGTCGCAAAGCATGTGGTAAATGTAACTCTGGAAGGTCTAAGCTGCATTGCGTAGTCCAAAATTCATGTAGGCGTACTCTAAGAGACCGAACGGAGTGGTGAGGGCAGTCTTCTGGATATCTGCAGGTGCCATTGGAATCTGATGGAAGGCGCGCACCCAAGTCGATCTTCGATAAGATGGTTTTGCCATGGAGTTTGTGGTTGAAGTCCTGGACATGCGGGATAGGGTACCTGTCAGGTTTGGTGACTAGGTTCAGGGCTCTGTAGTCACCACACATCCTTCAGTCGTTGGATGATGGCTTTGGAACCATATGAAGAGGAGATGCCCAGGGACTCTTTGAAGGTCCAATGATGCCGTCTTGCAGGAGTCTGTTGAATTCTGCCTTGGCTGCATTCAGGAGCTCAGGACGAAGGCGGCGAGGGCGTGAGAAGACTGGAGGTCCTGTAGTCTCGATGTGGTGGAAGATTCCCGACGTAGGTGGTGGTGGAGAGACTCGGGGTGAGAAAAGTTCCTTGAACTCCATGAGCAGGGAGGAGAACCCGTTGGACGGTGAGAGGCAGGTGATAGTGTCGGCGGCTGCGGCACGTGTACCCCGGATCGTGTGTGCTGTAGGCTCATGGATGAGGCAGAGGTTGCTTAGATCGACGACGAGTTTGTGGAAGGTGAGGAAGTCGAAGCCAAGGGTGGGTTGAGAGAAGTCTGCCACCACGAAGGACCAGCGCAGAGTCTTGGGAAGACCAAGGTCTAAGGCGAGGATGTGTGCGCCGTTGGATGCGATGGGGGTACCGTTGGCGGGGAACAGGTCATATGAGAGTTGCTTTGATGTGTCTTGCGGTGAGGGAGGGATAAAGCTGACCGATGCCCCTGTGTCAACGAGGAATTTTCTGCCGCAGATGCGGTCGGTGATATGCAGCAGTGAGACGCCTGAAGTGACGGAGGTTGTGGCGTCTACCAATCCCAGTCGATGCCGTTTCCCGAGTATATGAAGGGAGCCTCACAACGTCTAGTGTTAACACCGAAGCATTGATGGTACCTGCAGAGGGTAGGTGCACTGTGCTGGGAGCTGGCAGCGGTGTCCAAGGCAGGACGAAGACGTCGGGGTTGGTAGGACACAGTGAGTGGGGCAGGAAAAGGAGCAGCAGCAGGCATGGAGGAGCAGAGCTGCTCGATGGTGTCCATCCTGCTGTGTAGAGACTGTAGCAGGACCCTCATGTTTTGTGATGTGTTGCTCGTCTGAGGAGCGTTGATCTAGTTGACAAGATCGGAGGAAAGTGACGGTGTGGCCGCTGAGTTGTCCGCGGCAGCATGGCTCACAGCAGTGTATTCATGGAATACTCTGTCTGCCGTGGCTGCGTAGGTCGCCGGGGTTGTAGAGTAGTCCAATGTGGACAGGGCGAGGCGAGCTTCTGGGCCTGAAGTTGGCGCAGGACAGTGTCAGGAAGCCTGTCTGTGTGGCGGGAGTTCAGTCTCTGCATCTCGTCCCAGAGACGTGCAGGCGTTGAGTTGCCGAGGGAGAGACAGCATAGGTCTTGCAGGAGACTGGTGTCAGGCCGCTGGTATCGCCTCTTGAGAGCATCTCGTAGAGCTGTGAATTTGTTGTCATCTGGGGGCTTAGTGATGACTTCTGAGACTTGTGTGGCGACTTCTGTGGGCAGGGAACAGACCAGGGCGACGTACTTCTGTTCGTCTGAAGCTGTTGAGCCAATGAGAGCTGCCTCCACATGAATTATCCAGTCCTCAATGTTGTGACTGAAGACTGGAAGAGTGATCCGTTTCTCATCCATCCTGGCTGAGTGCGTTACTCCAGGGTCACCATTCGTAGCTTAGTGATGGAAGCGGGAGGCGACTGGTGGTAGGCCCCACATGGTCGACCTGGATGTCACCCAGATATCCCAGGATAGACAGATGCGTGCCACACACATGTAGGAACCCCGCTGAGACTGGCACCAAGCCGACACTACACAACCCCCACAGCTAAGGAAAATTGCTCGGGAGGGAAAACTAGATCTCTCTTCTAGCTGGGGTAAGGTACACCTGGTTATGCGGTGACCTGACCTAACTGGGCAGGATTAACTCTGTCACTCTCCCCTCCTATAAAGTAAGTGGGAGAGAAGTTGCCCTGGGTGCAGGATGAGTGGAGTGAAAGGTTGAGCTCTGGGAGACAGAAATTCCCATGGTGCTAGTGAGTACTGTATGCCCACCGAGTATCGGTGCTGATTCTTCTCCTAGGTACCTTCATCTCTTCAACTATGGGTGTATGTGGTTTGTCTAACCAAGTCCTGGTGTGAGGTCGACGACCCTGATGGTTGATCTTACACTCTGGACGTGGGAGTGCCTTTTAAAGGACTGTTTGGTGCTCTGCATGCAGTACAACTTGACGGTAATGGTGTATTCTGGGCCAATGTTGTTGAGCACGATTACGGGTATGGTGAAGCACACACGACTCATGAACCCAGAAGTAAAGTAATAAGAATAAGCGGATGAGCCGCCCCCTGACGAGTCATGAGTGATTTTCTCGGTTCACACATAATTTTGGGTTTCATGTATGAGCATGTTGGTTTGGGCTCTGATGATATCAGGCCATTATGACTGACCCATGTTCTTGTGCAGGTTATTAGTTGCAATCTTTGGTCTTTGTGCAGTATAGTAAATTAAGAACTAATATTTTTCTATGGGTTAATATTATTTGAGGGGTTTTCCAGACCACTATGCTATGTTATGGATATGTGTGCTGAGGAGCTGCTGAGTTAAGGATCAGTCGGGTTGTGTTCTAATGGGAGGGTCAGTGGGATTAAACTCAGGGAAGCGCGACCCTTGACCTCAGCAACTCCTGAGCTGATGAGCTCACATTGGCACCAGGTTCATATTTTCTATGCTGATGTAAAATGTGTTGATAAATTAATCCAAATGAATTATTGTGCTACTCATAGTGGTGTCTAGCGACGCAAGATATGTTGAGGGGTTAATCCAAATGAATTGTTGTCTCTTGTGCAACTAATATCTTCTTTAGTGCTGTAAGGATGGTGCTATTGAGTAATACAAGTGTCATATCAGTGCGTCTCTTTAACCCCAATCTCAGGAACACCAGTCCAGGTCACGGTAAATACTTTATTAATTGTGTTTGTGCTGGTTCGGTATTCTGAGGGGCCCTTCCACTGCATTACCATCCATTTAAATAAACCCCAATAGGAATTCCGACCGATTATATATATATATATATATATATATATATATATATATATATATATATATATATATATATATATATATATATATATGTGTGTGTGTGTGTGTGTGTGTGTGCAAGTGTCAACATACCATCACACCGAATACTGACTCGTTCATCTAACAACACGCAAACTGCAAAAAAAAATCCTTTTTAATTTCCTTTTTTTTTACTAGAGGGGGAGAGGGGTAAATTTATCGTCATTTGATGATTAAAAGCGGCATATATATTCTCACTCCACAAAGACTTAATTCACGCACCAATAATTTTGAATTCATTAATTTCAAAGGCAGATGTGGCGAACATAAAATTAACTGGTTGCCAGGTGAACGATGACTACCGCTGGCGCATGTCTATGGGATACATATACACACCCTCCTGTCATTCGCCAGGTCCAGGCTTCACCATCCCTGCCACAAGTTCACCTATAGTCGTAAATAAAAAGTTATTTATGCTCTGGATCGAAACTGAGTCAAACCCCAAGGAGGTACTAGAGCGCCATCCTTGGGTGGACGGGCATTTCGGGGTCTCGTTACAAGAGCTCGAAGTCTCAGGCGAGTTAAAGCACTTTCGTTCATGACTGTACATCAAGAGCCTGCACATTCTCAGTACTTGTCAACAGTGAATTAACCTACCATCCTACCGGCTGACAACGGGAGAATTAAATAAATAAATATGAAGTTTGGAAATAATTTAATATATGCTTAGTTAATAATTAACAAATTATTTTTTAATGCCCTCTTTGAATTCAAATAAATAAATCTAGAATATAAACAGGTGTCTAAGATGCAGTCAATGGCTGCATCAAACCTCACTCAAAAATAATTAAATCCCTCAAGTGTGAAAAATATGATCAGTAAGGTCAGGAAAAAAGAGGCATTGAGCTGACTAAACAGTGCCAGAAACAATATTCTCTTGGCATGTCAAAAGACAGTTACACACTCGTCTTCGCGGCTAAATTATGTTAGTATATTTCCATTTTCCGAAGAGATATTATGAAGATCACACATCACTTTCTTGTAACGTGGCAAATACAGATGGTAAACGCCGATTACCCAACCCGGCCTCGGTGTGTATGACGATAAGGCGCCACAACAAATTTCATTAAGGTAACAAGTTAGTGAACGCAAATGATACCTTGTACGTATGGTAAAACAGAGAGGCTAACGCTATATGCCATCCTATTCTATGGCGGAATAAAAATGTTTTAAAATTACTAGACACGTAATCTTCTTGCACAGATACTGGTGTGTGTGTGTGTGTGTTTATTCTCAACGCGCATCCTACTTCGGAGAAAAAAAAAACATCGCCAGGTAATCTTTCCCTAGTATTTCCTCATCAAGGTCCGTGAACCCTGCGAGCGGTCCACACCACCTCCTTCGCCCGCGTCCTCCCACTGCCCAAACATTTCTTCTCGTTTTCCAAATCTCTTTCTGATCAGCAGATATATCTTCCTGCCGCAGCTCCCTACCTCCTCCTCCTCCTTTTCCCCACCCTCTCTACCTCCTCCTACTTCTCACCTTCCCACCTTCTCTCCCTCCACCTCCCTCCTTTCCCACCTCTCTCCCTCCACCTCCTCCTACTTCTCACCTTCCCACCTTCTCTCCCTCAACCTCCTCCTCCTTTCCCACCCTCTCCCTCTACCTCCTCCTACTTCACCCCCTCACCA